CAGTGGCATCCCACGACAGTGGCATCCCACGACAGTGGCATCCCACGACAGTGGCATCCCACGACAGTGGCGACCGCAGCTGTGGCACCCACTGTGCAACGGCACCCTCCTCTCGCCCACATCCAACGTCGGGCGCCCGTCCCGAGGCCTTCGCGCAGGGCGCCGTCGAGTTATTTATTTAAGAACGCGGCAGGCGCTGGGCTGGGGGCGGCAAGGGGCGGCAAGGGGCGGCGGGCGAGGGGGATGGGGCGCGGGAGTTGTTGCGCGATAGATGGGCGAATCGGAAAAGAAGTGGGAGAAAAACAGGTCAAACTGCTCAAGTTGTGCGTTTTATGAGCGCCATCGGTCGCGTCCGAGAAGGGAAGGGAACTCCCCCTCTTCCTCCTCCTCTCGGGCCGGCCAGAACCTTCCCTCCGCCATAGCGCCGCCAGCGCAGCTAGCCGGGGGCGGGGCGGCCCGCCCCATCCTGCGGGCCCCGGGCCGCCGCCACGCCTTTGGTTAGCGTTTGATGCGGCGCCCGCTTGAAGGCCGCGCTCCGTGGAGCGGAGCCAGGGCGGGGCGGGGCGGGAGCGCTCCTAGGCGGCAGTCCCGACCCCATCGGGGGCCCCGACCGTGCCGGGCCAGCGTGCGAGGGGGCACCTTACGATTCGAAAGGCGTTTGAGAGCGTTTTCCGATACAGGACAGCAATTTATCTCCCGGGGTGCACGGCGCGGTGCTTCGCCAAGGGGCGCGGTGGGGTTGGAGCCCGCGGGGGCGGCGCAAGGGGGGGGGGGCGGCGCGGGGCCACACCTGTCCATTACGGGGCAATACGTGCGGACTGGCCCGCCCCCGCCGCCGCCCCCACCCGCGGCCGCCCCCCGGCGCTGCCATCAACTGCCAATCCTCATCACACTGCCACCCCTCGCACACGCAAGCATCCCCGCCAGCCATCAGTCTGCTTCCCCCAGAGAGTCGCGCACTACTTTGGCCTCCCAAACTCGCACGATTACATCCTCTTCAGAGGTTTACTTTGCGGCCGGCCGACCCTTGTTGTACGCTTTTAAGGTGGGAGACGCCAAAGTTCCAAGCGCGCGCGCGCGAAAATTCCACGAGTGTAATTGTCTGCGCAATGGCAGTCCGTCTCTCTCACTCCCTTCCCTCGCTACAACGCCTAAGCGCCGCCACCTTAAAGGAGCGCGCGGCCCCATTATACTATAAGAATGCCCGCGAGACTTTTAGCGGAGAGGCCCGTGGAAGTGCAAGTGAACAGCCTCCCCCTCCTCCTCGGGCGCTCTCCGGCCGACGACGACGCGGCCCCCGTGGCCGATTTGGAGAAAAGGGCGGGGCGGGGCGCGAGGGGGTGGTGGGGGACGTCGTTTAAAATTACTTTCCTTTACTCTCCCGTTGGAAATTTTTCGGTCGGATGGAGGTGGAAAATTAGTGTACCGCCGCGAGCGCGAGCGCGCGCGCCTACTAGAACGTGAAGGCGGTGAGGTGGTGGGGTCCACGGGGGCAGAATTGAGAAGGGAGCGGGGTGGAAATGGAGGGCGGCGGCAGCAGCAGCAGCGGAACAGTGGAGGTAAAGTACCCGCCTCCCTGTCGGACAATCTGTCTCCCGCAGAGGGCGAGGGGGAGAGGGGGGGGAGGGGCGGCGAGAGCGCTCGAGGACCACTACGGCACCACTTGGCCCCCTCCCCTCCTCCCCTCGCCCCCCGTGACCAGACCGCACCACACGCTACGCCTTTCACGACCCAGCCCCCCCCCCCCACCTCCTCCTCCTCCCTTTCGCTTCCGCTCTGCCGCGTGCGACCGTGTAGCGCGTTAAGTAGCCAGATTACGCAGCCACCCCTTTGTCGCCTCGGAGCCTCTCTCCCTTCTCCTTCGGCCACCCTCCCTGCTCCTCTGCTCCCGCTGCTGCTGCGGCTGGTAGAAGCAGCAGCAGTAGCAGCTCGAAAAAAAAGAGAGGGAACGCGACGAGACCAGAAAAAGAAAAGAAACAATCAGCGCCGCTGCTGTAAAGCGCGCGCGTGTAGTAGGGGTCTCGTCCCGCACCCCTGCGGCTCCACGAGACGCCCGGCGGGTAGGCAACCGGATGCGGCCGGACGCACGCGTGCTGGCGTGTTGCCTACCCGCCCGGCGCCCCGCCCGCCTCCTCCTCCTCCTCGCCTCCGCGCTCGACCGAGACAACTTTGCCGATTCCGTACGTTATCGTCGCAGTTTGTTGTTTGGCTGCTGCCGCCGCTGCTGCTCCTGCGCGCGCCGGCGGGGCGAGGAGGCGGCGGTCGAGAGTTTCTATGATGGCCGCGGGCCGGGGAGGCGGCCTTTTGTGCGGGCGCAGTCTGTCGGAATGCGTGGCGGGGCGGGGCCGGCGCGGCGGTCACCGCTTACCGCTCTTTTTCCCATCCATCTAACCCAACAAGCAAAAGGGGCAGGCGAGCAGGACGGTAGCCTTCTGGATGTGGAACCGAAGGAGCTGCTCGGGAGAAAAGGGCGCGAGGACGCTCGACTTCGGAAGAAGTGCGACTAGAGACGCAAGGACGACGACGAGGAGGAAAAGACGCGCGCGAGGCGGCTGAAACCAATCTGGAGAAATGGGACGTCGTCGTCGCCGCCGTACCACGAGCGCTAACACCACCACGTGGTAAAGAGCAGAAACAAAACAAAAGACGACAAAAAAAAAGCAGCGGAAACCAGCAAAAAATAAAATAAGTTGATTTCGCCGGGCTGGGCTGGCCTGGCCGGGTGGGCCCGGGCTGGGACAATCTCCAGCGGAAAGCGCAGAGAGCGACGCGAGGCTCCTCCTCCTTCCCCCGTCGGCCTCCTCCTTGTTATCTGTATCTGTCGTCCTCCGCGCGCTCGGGTGGTTACAGGCGGATCAACGTCGGAGCGAGGCCAGGCGTGGCGTGGCGTGGCGTGGCGTGGCCTAGCGCAGCGGCGAAAACGGGCGCGGGGAAGGGAGCAGCGGGGGGACCACCAAAGGTGCAGAGGAAGGGGGGAGGGGGGGAGGGGGAGCAAAGTGGCCTGCAAAACGTAAGCAGGTGGCAGCGCCGGAAGGGAAGGCTTGCGACCCCCGCGGGGCCCACGCCGACATCCATCTCCAGAGCAGCAGCAGCAGCACAGTGCCCGCCACGCTGGTGCCGCTGCTACCCGCCCGCGGGCAGCATACCGTCCGTCCACCTGCACCGACAGGAGGGGTGTCACATTTTATTCCTTTCCCCCGCAAAAAAACTACTGCTAGTGGTAACGGAGCTTCCACCACCACCATACTACCATACCCGCTGAATTGAAGTGCCCTCCCGCCTCAAAGACTCTGCTCGCGACTTGCGCCGCCTGACACCCTCGCCCCCTCCTCTCCGAGCTGCTGCTCTTCTACGCCACGAAGAGCAGGGCAATGATGGGGTCTCCACAAAGTGCCAGGCTAAGCCCACGGAGGTCTCACGGGGGCCTCCCCGCCGCCACCCGGCCCAGCCCAGCTCTCCACCACCACACCAGGAAGAGCAAGAGAGGCGGAGAGCAGCAGAGGCAGGCGCGCAGGGGCTCAGACTTGTTGGCGCGGCCTCCTCGGCCCCCTCCTCCTCCTCCTGCTGCTCTCCAGCCGGGCTCGGCGCCGACACCTTCCCGAGCACCTGCCCCCACCTTGCGCCAATATGGGGGGCGGCGGAGCTGATATGATCGCGTCACCTGCATCTTATCAGCCTTGCGAGGCGGCGACATCGTATTGGCCGTAAGATATTATTGGAGATTTCCTCCTCCCCGTCTCTCTCTCTCTCTCTCTCTCTCTCTCTCTCTCTCTCTCGGCGCCGTGTGCTCCGCTCGCTCCGCTTGCGCCCCAGCTACGCAGCCGCACGATTCTCCAGGGAGCGCGTGGTCGTCTGGATCGGCTGGGAGGTAGAGGTGGAGGGTTGGGGTTGGGGGTTGGCTGGGTGCTTTCATGTATGCACTCTCTCTCACTCTCTGTCTCTCTCTCTCCTCTCCCGCGCCCTCTGCTCCCTCTCTCTCCCCCTCTCTCGCTGTGCGAATTTAGCAGCGGCGCAGCGCAGAGATGGAAGGGAAGGGGGATTCACTCAATGCAGCCATACGTTACGCCAGGGCATGCCGTGCGCCGCGCATGCTACGCCTGTGTGGACGAATTTGCGATGCTGCACGGCAGCGGTGCGGGTCCGCCTGTCCGTCCGCCCGTCTGCTTCTCCACCCCCACCCGTCCGCCCGCGTCAGATCAGGGCGCCTTATCCGGCCGACTCCGGGCCAGCGCCTTTTACTCGCACGGCCGCCCGCTGCTGCGCCGCTCAGCTTTGGTTGGT